CCCCCCCCCCCGCCCCCCCCTTTGGACAGCAGTGGCTGGATTCAGCCTGTTTTCTTGTTTTCTTGCTCATATTTAGATGACGCAGTATCAGGGAGGAGCATTGCATAAGGCTCCCAAAACCGAAACAGAAAGCAGAGGCAGTTGTGTGATACGCAGCTGTGAGACACAGGGGCTGGAATATCAAGAGTCCAGCTGGCACAGGACCCGGCAGCAGCCCCAGACCAGCTCAGCTCACCAGGGCAGCACCTCAGCCCTCTCTAGCGTGTTTCAGCTCCACACCCAGCCAGATGGGCAGCCCGTAAGTATACTCCACTGGGTCCCCCACCTTTTTAATGCCGCTGGCACTGGGGGGAGCTACCAGGAGAAGAAGCAGTGCTACACAGTGCAAAGGTCTGGGAGGGAGCAAGCAGGTCTTTCCCCAACTGTGGCATACTTTTGGGCCAGTTCCTCTGCAGTCTGGCCCGTGTGCGCTGGCTGGTTTCCGTTTGCCAGCAATTCTTAGCTTGTCAGCAGCCTTTCTGCACCTCTGGTTCCCCCGCAGCCGATCCTGCCTGAGGGGGGGAAAGAGGGATCCGGGGCAGGGGAGCGAGTGGCTTGAAAGAAAGGTGCCAAGTCCAAAGCTGCCCTCCTTTCCCACCGCTTCTGCACGGTGTTACTCTCTTCAGCAGCCAGGGATGCAGGAAAGACAAGTGTTCTGGGGGAGCTCTTCAGTGCACGAGAAAATGCCCATTCCCTCATCCTTTTGCATTCAGCCTGTCCACTGCAGCAGGGTCTGGCAGCTCCACAGAGATATTTAACCCTGCACAGAGGCCAGATTCTGTGCCGGTGCTGCATGCCTTGGCCTCCCGGTCCCACTGCCTTTGCCCAGGCACCCAGCCAGCCGCTTGCTGGGGGGAAGGCACAGCCCCACCTGGGGAAGGTGTTCACCTGTCTATGAGCCAGTAGAGGGAAGGGCCGTGCAGCTCCAGCAGCACAGAGGGTCCCTGTGGGCCCCATCTCGTACACAGACACCCCAGGGAGCTCCTGAGCCATGCACACGGAGCCTCTCTCTGCCAGGGGGACTGAGAGACAGAGCTCACCCTTGGTGAAGTCCAGTGCTTCCAGCGATGCCTGCCCAGAAACAAGCGGGCTGAAGCCAGGCTGGGGCTCGCTGTGCTATGCTTGGGTTCCTCTCCCTTGCACCTTTGAGTCAGGGCCACAGACTCTCCCATCCAAAGACACAGGCGCCTCCTTAGAGGTGGAGGGCCTGCAGATGTCTGGGAAAAGCTCCAGCTGGACATCAGCTGACAGCTCTTTCCTGTTTATCCCCTGCTTCTCAGCCAGACTGCCTCCAAACCGCTGCAGAGTTCACAAATGCCATGCCTGCGGCTGTGCTGGTGGCGGGGCACCAGGTCGCAGCTTTCATTGCCAAACCGTACATTGCCTCCAGGCCAGCCATGCACTCTCTGCCCCAGCTGGCACAGGGCACCCACAGGAGGCAGGTCTCTGTCCCTGGCACAGTCACACCCAGGGACAGGGATTTACCCACTGGGCTGGGGAGACAGCAGGAGGCTGAGGGGGAAATTTGCCTGCAATTTGGCAGAGTGAACAGAGAGGCATTGCTGGGAAAAGAAAATAGGTCCTTATAGGCTTGAGCCTCAAAGCAGAGGAGAGGGCAGAGATACCATGGGATCTCCCCAGGCCCTCATACACGCAGATACCACACAGCAGCACAAGGTCTCTGAGGTGGCTCTCCTCCACCCCTGCCATACATTTCCATGAACTTGCTCGGAATTCAATTCTCTGTCCCCTCTCAAATAAACATGTGCAACTAGGACAATTTTTAACTGCTTTTATCTTTTTATGGAGGCACGGGGGTGGTAAATAAAAGGTAATGTGAGCTGACAATAAAAAAGCCCACGTTTCTACAAGCCTGCCTTCCTTAGGAAACTAGTTTAAAGACTTAGGACAGCAAGGGTTGGTGGGTAGGCCGGGCCAGGAGCAAAGTGGGCTGTACCAGTCCCAGCTCTGAGTTCCAACAGAAATCCCTGAGGAGCTGGTCAGCTAACCAAGAGCCGCCTTCAAGCACAGCTTGTTCTCCCTCTAAGGGCTGTAAGGCAGGATGGCAGGGAGAATAGTGGGCAGGCATGAGCCCTTGTGGGACAGGGAGAGGAAGAGCAGAAATGCCCGGTGAGAGAGAGCATGTGTGAAGACAGACAAACCAAGGGGCAATACTGGGGGCAAGACAAACCCTGGTGAAACTACATCGGCACAAGGTCTCATTCTGCAGCACGCTCTGGGCCTGAGCACGTGTTTTCCTGGTCATTTGTGTCTCCATTGTAGATTCAGAACAATGGGCATCCTCCACGTGACCTTCCAGTCTCTCCAGAAGCCTGTTGTGAAGAAGACCTCCAAGAGAAGCTACAAGAAGAAGTGAGGTGTTGACCAGGGGAAGGGGACAGGTTGGTGTCTGGATGATGTGACCCCCTTCCATGCTGTGTGCATGCTCCTCCTGGCTATGACTGTGTGGAACAGGAGAAGTTTGGAACAGAGAAACTCTACCCCTGTGAGCATCAAACATAGATGTCCCCCTCCCAAGTATCCAAGGAGACAGGGAGTGGGAGGGGGATGCTGAAGGGTCTCTAGTCACCACACTGCAGCCAGAAACTGGGTACAGATTGAGTGGTGTATCTCCTGGCACTCTAAAAACTCAGAGGCTACACCAAATCCACAAGCAGCTGTGGGGTGATGGCCTGGGACATCCAGGACATTGGGATGATATACCACTGGGCAATGGACAGTAGAGGGGAGACAGCAGAACCAATGTTGTGAACTTCTTGAGGGAAGGTGGTAAATGATTCACAGGAGATAACACTTGGCAAAGGCAGGAAAGGGGTTATTTGCAGAGCCTCAAGCCAGAGGCTGAGCTTGAAGCCAAGGTCTCTGATCTCCTAGCCCTGTGATTGTGCCTCTGTGCAGACCCAGGTGGCCAGTGCTGCAATGCTGTGTGGCTCTGCAGCCAGTGATACACTTTCCTGATGCCACTTCTCTGTTTTTCAGCACAAAGCAGAAGCCTGCACCGAAGAGGGCACTGAGGACAGACCACATTTCTGGGAGAAGTGCAGGGAGTTGGGTTTGCCAGGCAGTCCGAGAGAAGAGCAAGGAGGATGGCAATTACAGGTCTGTCTCATAACGTAGCCCATCTCCCTGGGCCTCAGAGGAGGGTGACTGGTGGCAGGTGGGTCTGGGGTGCCTCTTTGTGGTGGACAACTGCCTGTCCATGTAGGGTATCGGTCCTCAGGCAACAGGGACAGAGCAGCACCATGTCTGCCAGCCTCAGTGGGGAGCAGGGCTGCAAGAGATCAGCCCTACTGTGCCCGGAAATGTACAGGAATGCAAGGGCCTCAGGGGCATGTGGATGCTGGAAACAAGTGGCATCAATAGCACTGGGTGTCCCAGAGCTATGGGGTGGGGGGGCAGAGCCAGGGGGAGTCCTGCACTTCAGAGCCTGGCATGTCTGCATTTTTCTCAGTAGTCCAAAGATCACAAGGGATGTCCTTGTTTGACCAGAACTGACAGAAAAACATTTTCCCAGAAAAGCTTGTAACCCCATCCTTACCAGACAGCAGTGTTTTGCTCCCCTCCCATCACTGCAGTTTGCTGACAAATGCCTCTCTTGTCCAACACAAGACCACGGTGCAAAGGGCATGTGCGGGGCTAAGGGAGCCATACTGTCCTCCACATGCTGGTCCACACACGGGACATCATTAATCCACCTCTGCTGTGGCCAAAAATGCTGTGACCCCTCCTTGACCCAGGGAACACGGGCACAGCACAGTCAGAGGCAGGACTGAGATGCTCCTGCTCGACTTGCAAGGGGAGTCCCAAGACCTCAGTGACACAGGCTCAGAGCACATCTTGCAAAAAGTGCCATAACACACAACAAACAAGGGTGCCCCCCGTCATGTTTTGCAGCAGCCATCCCCACAGCAGGATTCACCATGGTATCAAGAGAGCATGCGGGCACCAGGATGGGTCTGCTGCAGCGGAGGTGCACTGGGCACCTGCTCTTTGCGCTGACCATCCTCAAGGCTGCCGGGACCTTGGCCTTGATGTTCTACGCGCTGATGTTTGAAGCTGGGAACTTGGTCGACCTTCCTGACAAACGCATTGGCTTTTACAACTTCTGCCTGTGGAATGAGACAGCCAGGGTGCTGCAGTGCCTGGATTACAAGTATCTGCAGGTGATGGGCATCAGCCTACTAGGAATGGCACTAGCCAGGGTTTGTGTGTATGCCTGCCTGGTCATCAGCATCTTCTACCCCATTGTTGTTGCACACGCGAAGCGCACAGAGGAGAGAGGGGTCTGGAAGCTGATCATTATCATACTCATCATCCAGACGATAATCCTGTCTGGAGGCCTGGGTTTGTTTCTTTTCCAGACCTCGCAGTGGATTCACCCCTCTGATTTCACTGGGGGCTTCCTGGCACTGCTTGGGACTCAGGCTCTGCTACTGCTCCAGATTCTCACTGCCATCGCGTACCTGAGCTGGGCCAAGCACACACAGCCGCATCCAAGCCTTTTTACTAAGGAGGCCCTGCCCATTGAGATTTGACAGCAAAGAAGATGCAAGAGCTATTGATAACCCGATTTAAAGCAGTAATCCCACTACAGCTTTAGTCACTGGCAGGAATCTGATCCTTAGTCCAAAGGCCCATGTCCAGCCATGCTCTGACACACGTCAAGCAGGCAGCCGACACCAACACTCACGGCACAGCACGGAAGCTTCCCAGGAACAGCAGTGTGTAACACACCCCGTGGCCTGGGGCACAGCATCAAAGCGACACCATTTCTGGCCTCAACCCAGAGATCAGGGAAGGGCCCTTGACAGATCAGAACCAGCACACAGCGGACAAAGCCCCCTGGCTATAGCTAGCCCAAGAACAGGCAGTCAGAGAAGGAAACAGGCTTCCTTTCTTGGAGCTGTCCAAAGACACTGTGCTCCTTCTGCACCTCCTGGACTAACCAGGTCTGCCTTCAAAGCAACTGTGACTTCAGGAGCTGTGGCTTC